GCCTTGGGCCTCGTAGGGGTATGGCCCCCACGGCCAGGCCCTGAGATCGGGCCGGGGGCCCGAGGGGCGGCGGGCACCAACTGTCCCGGACATTTCAGTAGGGAAGGGCTCCTCTCAAAGTGGATTATTCCAACTACCCCGGGGGTGGCCCAGGGGTATTCTCCCCGAGCCGCAGATCCTCGGTGAAGACAGCGAAGCAAGGTGAAGATGACCAGCAGTCCATTTCCTCAGAGCAGCCCCCCAACTGCTTCGGCTTTGTCGCCTACTCCATGAACAACCCGGGAGAGAAATCGCGAGTTACGATGAAGACCGCGAGCCACCAGCATGCGTATTCCGGCGGGTCCTGGTACGATCGCTCTCTGACTCCCTCGTTCTCTCCCGCTGCCTCTCCGGGCTCCATTCCCTCGCCACGTTCGACTCCCTCGCCCCGGAGCATGTTCCAGCCAGAGCCGGACAAGGAGGACAGGCACGAACGCCACTCCAAAAAGAGAAGGTCCAAAGAGTGCAACTTCAACGATCCGCTTGACCTTCTGTGGCTGGGGTGAGTGAGGAGACCCGGAGGAGGCTCTCCAGCCAGCGGCAGCTGCAGAAACAGCTCAAAACGGCAGGACCCTGTGTTCCTCCTCACCGGGTCAACTAGGCACGCGGTGGCACCAGGTGATACAGTAAACAACTAGGCTGTTGGCGACCAACTTGTGTCACGGAAAAGAGCAGAAGATCCAAGATCATCCCCCACCCAGGCTGATGGGAGGGAGTGGGCTTGGTGTCTGGGAGGAAAGCCGGAGACTGGGTTGTGTAGCTTTTATTGGGAGCTGTGAAGGGATCGGGGGATTTGTTCCTTCTGAGCTTAAGAAGCGGGTGTGGGGGTGAGGGTGGGATTTGACGCTCCCACCGAGTCTTCTAAGACGGTAGGCAAAGGGCGACTTGAGAGGCGAGATCCTCTTCCCCAGGGGAAGGGCGAAGATTTTGGAAGAAGCTGATGTTTTCAGCTGGGTAAACATGGACGGTTGCCCATAGAAACTTTGTCATTGTACTTCAGAGTTGCCCAAGTCATAGGAGGAGAACAATATGTTCCCTTTTGAACCACCCCTGGCCACCGAGGGGGGCGGGGGGAGGAAGCAGTAGAACCGATTCCTCTTAGGTTTTGTGGCTGCAGAGTGTCTTCTTTTCCGAGGTTTTGTGGTGTTGGCTTGCAGTTTCTAGCAGGCGTCAGCTTTTGAAACTCCACGTCTTTTTCATTTATTAGTGGGAATCCCCTCATTCCTTGAAAAGCTCTCTAGTGGAGGTCTCAGCATGTCATTCTCAAACTTACCTTGAAGTGAGAATTTTGGCTTTGACTGATGGAAACGATGGCTGCGTGCATCTTAGGATCCAACTTGGATCAGCTATTTTTTAATCGTGGTGACTATAAGGACGGCAGCTCTTTTAGGAAGCCACCAGCCTTTTAAGCCTGGCTAACCCCCTTGTTTTATCCTACCTACTATCTAAATGTGAGGTGTGGGTCCCCCCCCCCCCCCCGGGTTTGGAGGAATCTTCAAAATGGGTTTTTTATTGACATGCCCACTAAGGATGCCAGGCAAAGGGAAGACTCACCCAGAGACCATGGCAGACAAGCCTTTCTGTGGCTGGATTTTGTTTGTCTTAGAAGACCACGTCTGTTCTGTAAATTTGTGTTTCTGAACTTCTGTGTCTTTTGTTTTGGGTTCCCTCCCCTCCTCCCCAGTGTCTTAGTATAAAAATAAATAAATAAATAAGTAAAACCAGTTCCCTGCCATGGCCACACTGAGAAAATAAAGCTTAGCCCTCAAGATTCTAGCTTGAGGAAGCTTATAAGGAGGTTTTTGTCTCATATAAATCTTTAATCCCCCCGAAAGCAGAGTAATAAATAGACCCTTGAAGTGTGTAACTTCCGAAGGGAGGGGGTCACCACTCCCTCTGTGACTTCTTGATTTCATTGTCCTTATAGAGTGATTCCTGTAGAGGATCCTTTTGGAATTGGTGTTCTTCATTTATTTATTTTCTTTTTCTCACCAGAGCAACTTCCACCATGTCCACCTCAGCGAGTTCCCACTTGAACAAAGGCATCAAGCAGATGTACATGTCCCTGCCTCAGGGTGATAAAGTCCAAGCTATGTACATCTGGATTGACGGTACTGGAGAAGGACTGCGATGCAAGACCCGGACCCTGGACAGTGAGCCCAAGAGTATAGAAGGTGAGCAGAGTGGGGAGTCTGTGCTGGGTGGGCAGCCTGAGACCAAGCCACTAGATTGGGCCTCTTTATTGTTCTGTTTGGAAAGCTTTTCTAAGGCAGGGCTTTTCAGACTTCAGTCACTCAACATTAAGCTCTTACACTGCCTCCAAGCGTGGCCACAATGGACTCCTTTATTTCAATGAAATCTTGTGTGTAAGTCAGTATATATAAGACAAAAAATAAAGTCTGGTTGGAGGGGGTAAAGGGGGGCTGGATTCTTTGCGGACTTGGGTAGCCTTTCGTTGGCTTAAGGCCCCCCCCCCAGGAACCCAGTTTGTTAACCATTGCTCTAATCTGACTGAGACATCTACTTTACAAACTCTTTGAATACTGTTTTGAACTCATATCATTGGGGTTCTAGATGCGAAGTCAACACCCTAAAGTGCTTTCTTAAAAGGACCAGCCATTCATGTGTTTTTAACGGATGACACTTTGGGATTTTTTTTTTAAATATATATATATATATTTTTATTGATTTCAGAGAGAAAGGGAGAGGGAGAGAGAGAAACATCAACGATGAGAGAGAATCATTGATCGGCTGCCTCCTGCACATCACACACTGGGGACCAAGCCTGCAACCCAGGCATGTGTCCCAACTGGGAATCAAACCATGACCTCCTGGTTCATAGGCCAACACTCAACCACTGAGCCACACCAGCTGAGCCACTTTTGGAAATTTTTAAATAATCTGATTACTTGTTCCACTAACAGTCATTATATGAGTTGTAGCCTTTATTTTTTTTGGTCTAGACTAGGGAAGCCATCGCCCTCTTCCTTCTAGAAAAAGGGATCAGAGAACAACTGCCACCTCTTACCTACTTTTAGGATAGCTGCCTCTTCTGAGAACTTGACATTTGAGTGAATGAATGACCATAATATAAAACATACCTTGTGTATCTGCTATGCGCCAGGTATTAGAAAGACATTGGGGATACAGGTAAGAGTTTGGTGTGTGCCTTCGGAGAACTCAGTCAGCTGGAGAGAGGAAGAAACCGGCCTTTAGGCATAGTGGGAGAAGTGGATAAGTGATGTGGGAGCATCCTTGAACAAGTCATCTTGCTGGTCGTCTGTTTCCTCATCTATAAAATAAGGACAGACCATAGACCCAGTCAGGGAGGGGGTGATGAATCAGAGAAAGAAGAAACACAGATGGTCTAGTGGGGGAATTGAGAATCCTTGTTTCTCCTATTTCAATATTTAAAATGATGACTGACTGCTGATGTCAGAATATTTCCATTTGTCTCCTTGGTGTCCAGTGGTCTGATTAAGGGAAGAACCATCATTCTTAGGTTGTCCTTGTGACTGTTATTTCGTTAAGGAAGTGATGTATGGGTCTTACTAGAACTCAGAACTGTAGGGCTACGTGCACAGGTCACAGTGCGTATTAATAGTGGCAGACATGCATCACTGGCTTTCTGGAAATGAGAGTGTAGACGGGTGAGTGAAGGGCTGTGTGCTGCCTGGAAAGCTGTGCGTTTTTAACTTAATTTTCCTCTCTTTTTACCCCAGAGTTGCCCGAGTGGAATTTTGATGGCTCTAGTACTATGCAGTCTGAAGGCTCCAACAGTGACATGTATCTTGTTCCTGCTACCATGTTTCGGGACCCTTTCCGCAAGGACCCCAACAAGCTGGTGTTCTGTGAAGTCTTAAAATACAACCGCAAACCTGCAGGTGTGTATAGGATAGATATGGATACCCCCACCCCAATTCATGAATGGAAGAAAGGGGAGGGAGAGGCTATTGCCAAATTAGTAATGGACTGTCTCAATGTTTCAAGAGTCGGGGGGAGGGGGAGGAGTTGGGGGTTGAATGTGCATCTCTCCACCTTGAACTTCCTCATTCCAAGTGGTAAAGTGGGCCATCCTCCCATGGTCTCCTGTTGGTTGCATAAAATTGAATTCTTCTAAGTCCGTTTGCTGGTGGAGTCCCCTGTGACACAGTCCGGCCTGCACGCCTGTAGATTTTAAGAACATGGTTCTGAAGTTAGAATGTTGGGTTTGAATTTGGGATCTGCCACTTCTTAGCTATGAACTTGGGCAAGTTACTTATCCCCTATCCTTCATTCCCCTATCCTGATTTTAAAATGAGTAATAAAATCCATCTCCTAAAGTTGTTTGAAGGATTAAATGAGTTAATATGTGCAAATAATTGAGAGCAGTTTGACATCAACTATCGGTGGCTGCTTCATTCCAGACATCTTGTTTTCTTCCTTGTCTGTCCACTGACTGAAGTATGAGCCTCTTGGTTCATTGATAACATACGTTTACCTCGAGGTTTGCTGTAACTGCACCTTTGGGTTTCGTCAGGCATGCCTATCGTTCCCAGTTCTCGGCCATTCATCTTTTTAAACTCAGCTGAAATCTCACTTCTGTGTAGTCTCTTGCTACCCTTTGGCATTGAGACTTTTTGGCAAGTCACTTAGTTTTGTAATGCCTTTGTTTTGAGAGCCCGTATCATTGTGGTAAAGGGCGTGAGCTCTGATGGCCAAGACAGTCATGGGTTTCCTGGCTCTGCTGCCTGCCTTGTAACCTGGGCAGGCCACCGAATATCTCTGAGCCTCATTTTCTCACTTGTAAAGGTGGAGATGTCTAATACCCTTCTCAGGGTTGTTAGGAAGACTCGGTTGTGGATTTTCTTAATGTAGACCTCTTAAAATGGGTCCTGGGGCATAGTTAAGCAGTCAGTACGTCTGTATTTACTTATTTTAAAGTTCCTTTCTTGCTTAGAAATTGTTTCCAGTTGAGCTCATCTCATCGTAACGTTTTTCTTTTGCACTATCCAATTCTTTATAACTCAGCACTAAATCTTCTCACCCGAAATGAATTCAAGGCTCCCAATATACAAGTGATTCAATAAAAATTGTAGGTTTGTTCTATATGCCCAAGAAACTAGAAATAGGTCTGTCTGTAGAAGCGGCTGTCTTGTGAATAGACAGTGTAAGTGCCTGGCGTTGGCTACTTACGAGGCGGCCAGCATGCTGATAAGGTGAACACTTGCACTTTCCTGGAGCCACTGTCATGTGACTTGATTATAACAAATTTGGGGGGAACCTCCCTACAAGTGTTTAATTAGAGCATCTCCCATTTTCCTCTTTTACATCAATGGGACCCAGCAAGGTAAACAGGGCCAGTTTAGCTTTTTCTCAACACTTTGGCTGCGTGGATTTGCAAGAACTTCTTTTTTCCCCACCAGCACCGAGATTCAGTAGGTTTGCCCAGATGTCTCTAAAGCAGTGGTTCTCAACCTTCTGGCCCTTTAAATACAGTTCCTCATGTTGTGACCCAACCATAAAATTATTTTCGTTGCTACTTCATAACTGTAATGTTGCTACTGTTATGAATCGTAATGTAAATATCTGATATGCAGGATGGTCTTAGGCGACCCCTGTGAAAGGGTCGTTCGACTGCCAAAGGGGTCGCGACCCACAGGTTGAGGACCACTGCTCTAAAGGATTGTTGTCTCTTTTTTTTTTTCTAGAGACCAATTTAAGATATACCTGCAAACGGATAATGGACATGGTGAGCAATCAGCATCCCTGGTTTGGAATGGAGCAGGAATATACTCTCATGGGCACAGATGGGCACCCTTTTGGCTGGCCTTCCAATGGCTTCCCTGGACCCCAAGGTAAGTCTCCTGGGTGAGAGGTGAACTTGGCTCCTCCCCGGCTGCTTAATTGGTGAGGAAAGTCTCTTTCCCCAGAGATGGTAGTGACTCCTTATGGATCAAAAAGCTATGGGAGTGTCCCTGAGACTGGCTGGAATGATACCGTGCCCTCACGTTACCCAGACCCAAACATAGATGTTTAGCCATTGATACTGGGGGGAAACCTTTGGCTCCACTGAGGAGCCCCCTGCCCCACTGCCCCACTGCCAGGTGAAGGCGGGGACAGTGATTCCGGAGAGCCAGTGTTAGAGCTTTCTGATTGCTGACCTTGGGCTGTGCATCTTAGGTGGAAAGGGAGGGTGTTCTGGATTTCCTCTCTCGACATTTCGTCTTGATGCCTCTACAGGTCCATACTACTGTGGCGTGGGAGCAGACAGAGCCTACGGCAGGGATATTGTGGAGGCTCACTACCGGGCCTGCTTGTACGCTGGCATCAAGATCGCAGGGACAAATGCCGAGGTCATGCCCGCCCAGGTAAATGGCTCTCGTCCACCGCTTTCCCCATCACTAGGCAAGTAGAGGCTTTTTGGTAGCAAGGGCTACTGATGCTCCCCTCCTTAACCCAAAACCTTAAAGGTTGGATGGACTAGAGGAGGGAGAAGGGAGCGGGTTTCAGAGTGGGGTGAGTGGGGTGAGCAGTTGGCTTTATATTCAAGGCCAACCTTCTTGTTCTCTAGTGGGAATTCCAAATAGGACCCTGTGAAGGCATCGACATGGGAGATCATCTCTGGGTGGCCCGTTTCATCTTGCACCGCGTGTGTGAAGACTTCGGAGTGATCGCAACCTTTGATCCCAAGCCCATTCCTGGCAACTGGAATGGTGCAGGCTGCCACACCAACTTCAGCACCAAGGCCATGCGAGAGGAGAACGGTCTGAAGTGAGTGCCTTCTCCTGCTGGGGCCGTCTTATTTCTGTGCGAGAAGACTTGCCAGGGACGTGATGTATTGGGGATGAGTAAGCCAGACTTCTTAGTTCGGACCTTAGCTTTTGCCACTTGGCTTCAAAAGCTGTCTTCTAATCCTGTGGTCCTGTTCCTATTTGAAAAGTGTCAAAATGACTCCAGGAATAGAACTCAAGGGTGGCAATAGGGAAAGTTGACAGAGCTTCATGGCATATGAAAATCTTTAATAAGAACTAAATTAGTAACAGTACAAGCATGTGAATGAACTTCATGCTTATGGATGAGAGAAAGTCTGGGATCTTTTCATTCAACAAATGTCCTGTACTGGGTGTCTGGCACTATTTCTGAGCACTGGGACAGGCCAGGAACGAGGGGAACATTTGCTCTGCTGGAGCGATGTGGAGGTGAATTGGAAACTGGGAAAAGTCTTTGATAGATAAGTCACTCCATTCTTGAATCCGTACCTGCTCCTGCCCCTGAAGGACAGGTTTCCTGGGGACAGGTGGACGGACCCTCATCTTCTCTGTTTCCTCTAGGTACATTGAGGAGTCCATCGAGAGGCTGAGCAAGCGGCACCAGTACCACATCCGAGCCTATGATCCCAAGGGGGGCCGGGACAATGCCCGGCGCCTCACCGGATTCAACGAAACCTCCAATATCAACGACTTCTCCGCCGGTGTGGCCAACCGTAGCGCCAGCATCCGCATTCCCCGGTCTGTGGGCCAGGAGAAGAAGGGGTACTTTGAAGACCGGCGCCCCTCTGCCAACTGTGACCCCTTTGCCGTGACAGAAGCCCTCATCCGCACGTGTCTTCTCAACGAAACTGGCGATGAGCCCTTCCAGTACAAAAACTAAGTGGACTAGACTCGCAGCCATCCAGCTCCTTCTAATTACTTCTTCATCCCGCTCCCACTCTCGCCCCTCGATTGTCATAACAAATGTAACTCAAAAGGGCAGAATATCAAGGTCTTTTTTTATTCCTCCTGCCCAGTTAATATCTCTTGCTTTCTTTGGCCAGGTTAGAGGGGTCAAGTTCTTAGTCTCTTCACACACAAACACACACACACACCCTTTTTTTCCCCTATCACTGAAGCTTTCTAGTGTGTTAGTGGGGAGGGGGGCGGGGAAACATAACCACTGCTTCACTTAATCAGGTGTTTGTCCAACAGGCGTAGCTATCTGGACAGTGAGCATAGTATTTGTGAAGGGAGGGGAAGGGCCTTTTTCTTCTTGGAGGTAGCTGAAGGGGGTAGGAGTGCTGGGCTTGCTCTGTGACTAGGTTAGAAACTCCCTTTGGTTGGGAAGTTCCATAAAAGGTTATAAGCAGCTTTCTAATGAAAGTGAGAATTAGGAAGGGGGTGCGGGCAGGAAGCCCTCTTACCTGCCAACTGTGACCCCTTCGCAGTGACCTGCTTCCCTGGCCTGGGACTGAGTGCCCTCGCTGGAAGGCAGGCTCGGCATAAAGGGACGGGATGGGTAGCCCTACCTTCGAAGAAAAAGTTCTCGTTGCTTGGTCCTCCGTTTATAACACAAATCAGAGTAGTATTTTTATATTTAAATGCAAAAACAAAAAAATTATATATATGGGTGTGCAGATCTGTGTGCTTTTTCTAAAGGACAAAAACCATTCTGGTCGCTGGGAGCCAAAGTTGAGGCGAGAAGTCTGATTAGAAATAAGGCTCACCTTTTGAGGGGAGGGGGTGAGGGTGGCAGTGCTTGAAAAGTTGGCTCTTAGGGGCTGTTAAACTCTCACTACCATTTAAGGGTTTCTCTGTGCCCTGCCTGCCCTCTGGACACGGGTCGGCTATCAGGAGCAAATAGCAGTCACCCGAGCCCCTTGGCTTTGGATTATAAAGACACGTGTATGCACAGGGGTTTAGAATTATGAGTTGGCTGGTCAACTTGAGCATGTATGTTACTGACAAGGGGGGTATTGGGTTATTTTCTGGGGGACTAGCATGTCACTAAAGCAGGCCTTTTGATATATTAAAAAAAATTTTTTTTAAAGCAAAACCAGTTTAGATTTTAATCATATTTGTAGGGATTTGAAGTCTCTTACAGAATTGCTTGTTTGCTTCCACTGTCTCCTTCCTGTCTGCTCCTAGAGGGGAGGGGGACAAGACTGGGGTTAAACACTTGTAATTTTGTATCCTGGTGTCTGTTCTGAGTGTGAAATATTCCTTTTCGTTCGTTAAGATACTGAGGAGTTATTTTTTTCTTTTATAATAAAAAACAAACAAACCCCACCTTCATCCCTACTGTTCCTGGCTGTTTTTGTGTTGGCTGGGGCAGCAAGCTGGCTGTGGTTTTTTTTTTGCCATGACGACTTCTCATTACCATGTACAGTATGTTCAGGGTTAGATAACTCCTCGTTGTAAACAAACTGTTAACTGCCCAGAGCAGCTCTAAATCAAGCTAACATTTATATCTTCTGACTTGCTTCTTTTAAATCCCTAGGTGCCATCTCATTCCCTCTCCTACCAAAAAGGGGGAGGGGGGGGGGCATGAGTATTTAAGAGGCCAAATAAGTTCAAGTTTACCTGTTCTTGGAATTAAAAATCGAGTCATATTGCTGAACAACTCTTCCTTGTACTTTGGGTATTTGGCATTTCTGGATGAAGGCATGTCTCAGCCCTAGAGACATAATAGGGTACAACCCTCCACTCCAACCCCTTGCTTGGCCTCAGAGCTGGGCTCTGACCTATCACACTGAAACGTTGTTTTGAACCACTCCTCTGCCATAATTTTATAGCAGCCTGAAGTATTTGTGTTGTTAACTGGTCTCGATTTCATCCTCTGCCCAGCTGCCAGTGATTCATCTAAATGGCAAATATTGACCGCGTTGCTATCCTGGTTAAAGCCTTCTGAGCCTGGGTGTGCTCAGGGTCAGCCAGCCCACATATGCCCTGGATGGGCCTTCCCTTGCACTAGACCAGTGGTCGGCAAACTGCAGCTCACGAGCCACATGCGGCTCTTGGGCCCCTTGAGTGTGGCCACGAAGTTTCAATCGCACTGTATGTGCGCACCCACATGTGGTATTTTGTGGAAGAGCCACACTCAAGGGGCCGCAGTTTGCCGACCACTGCACTAGACCAGCAAGCTGCCTATGATTCCCCCAAAAGCTCATGTTACACCTCCGTGCCCTTGCTCTTGGTCCCTTTACCTGGAAGTTCTTCCACCTTATCCTGGCTCATTCCTGCCTTCGTTCATTTCTACATCAGGCTGGGTAGGAGCTCCCTCCTGCTCCATAGTGTTGTACACATTTCTAGCAAAACCACCTATTCATCCAACACTTGAACCTAAGGTGTCAGGTATTGTGGCCAGTGGTAATCACCACACTTTTGTTCATATTACTGTTTTTAAAGGTGATGTCCTCAGTCAGTTCGGAGTTAACTGGGGCCTGTTACAGCGAGCAAATGAGTTTTCTTTGGGCAGGTGACTAGTTTGCTCCAGTCTTCGGTATTTTTTTTAGATTTTTCTAGGATGGTTGGCTCCAGGCACAATTTGATTTTCAAAGTAGGATGGATGATCTTACCTATGAGTTTGCTGGGTCTAGTCCCAGTTTGCACCTACTGTTTCAGCATGATTATTAAGAGTGCCCCCCTATCAGTGTCTTCCTGGTTTCACTGATAAATTACGTGGTGGTTCTTATTTCAACTGAAGCTCTTCGTCTTCTCGGCTTCTCTTCGCTGGGTCAGCCTTGCAGTGCTTGGGGTAGACTCTGCACAGAGCAAGGCCTAGATTGAGGCAGTGACTTGAGCACTTTGATTTTTTGCTCATTGAAACCAATTCCCTGACGAAGATTACGTGACAAAGAATTCTAGAGTAATATGATCAGAATTTAGGTGGAAGCAACGAGGGTATTTCCTTCTCTACCCTCCTGCCTAGAATTCGATGTGACCTGCAGGTCACAATGCACTTCTCTTGTATTTCAAAGGTGTTTTTTATAGCTCATTTAACAGACACTGGGTTACATGATAACTTTATCAGTGAGATTAAACAATGACAGCCAAGCCTTCAGCCTTAAAGAGACAGAGGCCAACATTCACAAAAGGAACTCTCCATGTTAAACATAAGTTCCCTTCATTTCATCCTGCCAGTCATAGGAGAAGAGCTAAAGGATGGCTGCACAAGCTAACAGGAATGCCACGGAGCTAAGAGAAGATTCCTAGGAGTTCCTTGGATGGTCACTGCTGGGTGCTCCCAGGTAGAATGGCACACTGAGTGGATGAAAGAAGTTTCTAAGCAAACGTTTGGTTCTGGGGCTTCACCAATCTCATCAAAGGCTGCTCTTAGGTAATTCCTGCTACTGCTCGGCCCTTATACCAATAAGACGCAAAGTCTGCCAAGTAACTTGCTGTCCCAAAGAAAGCTCATCACTCAATAGAACTTTCTGACAAATTCGTGAAGGCAGGAATCCTCCTTTTCTTTCTCAGGACTGTATCCCCAGACCTGTCACATTGCCGGCAGTACTTGCTTAGTAAATTACTGTTCAGTATCAGATTTGTGAGCTCTATGCCTGCAACTAACTCTATCGGGTGGTGTCAAACCCTCCAACAAGAGGTCTTAGTGCTTTGGCTGTGTTTTAACCCCAGTCATGGCACTAAGCAAAGTTCTGTTTCCCTGGGCTTTTAATGACTCTGCTGTCTTGGTTAATTCTGGTTGAAGGTGTGCTGCCAGGAGCCTCATGTTGCTTTATGAGTTATAACTAATATAAAGTGGCAATTCATCATATAATTCCGGAGGCTTCAGGTACATTGCTACTGTAAATGGTTGGAGCTGATCAGAGCCCTGGCATTTTATAGCTTGTAGTTCAATCACCGGCACTCATTTTTTAAAATGTCATATTTGAGCCCAGCCGGCATGGCTCAGTAGTTGAGCATTAACCTATGAACCAGGTCACAGTTCGATTCCCGGTCAGGGCGCATGCCCAGGTTGCAGGTTCCAATCCCCAGTGTGGGGCGTGCAGGAGGCAGCCGATCAATGATTCTCATCATTTCTATCTCTCCCTTCCTCTCTGGAATCAATAACAATATATTTTTAAGTCATGTTTTATTTTATAATATTCAGATAAGTGCTCATACACATATGTACAATATAAACATACTATATTTAGGTATACACACACACACACACACACACACACACACTAGGTACATAACACAGGTATCCTACATGAACGTTTTGCCAAGGTTATAGTATCTTATAAAGGAGAAAGGAACTTAGGAATATCTCTTCCAGAAGCTATACACAAAAACAAATTCATTGGGTTGGGAGCCTGTCACTAGGAACAAGGAGGCGGAGCATAGAAGTTACGATTATTGTTAAAGCATGGCTCTACTGCCAACCCTTTCTAATTCTGCCCTTTCCAGGGCTTTATAGACAGAAGGTTCTTGGGCACTGTCAACTATTTGTCTATAATTCATTTCTCAGAGCCCCTCTGATATAAGGGGGTGGATGATATCCTAGTCCCATATTTCAGAGGAAGTGTTCATGCACTTCCTGTTATCATTTGATTAATTGCTTTTATAAGTGGCTGGGACCTCAGCAAGTTGTCCTCTTTCTCATGGGTCTCAGATGGACTTATTTGCATTGTCTTGAGATTGTAACTCGTCTCAGCTTGCTCAGCTCCTCCACCATATGGCCTAGTCAGCAGACCTACTGACTTCAATAAAAATTCAGAATAACTGCTCCCTTGTGACCACATTATACTGCTCTATAGACATTAAATGGGAAAGGCATTCAAGATACTCCAAATTTAATAAATAAAACGGGGACCAGCTAAGCACTATTGTTGGTGTTTTCGTGCAAGCCTATGGATGAAGAGGTCAAGTGAATGGAAATTCTTTTCTTCCTCTTCATGTCTCTACTCCTCCTATTGCTGCTGGAGGGGTACACACGTGGGAATCCTCCATTGTTTGTGGGGCTCTTGGGGCACTGCTGAAATCAGCACTTTCAGAAGCCCCCCACGGGAGGATGAGAGGCGGTAGAAGATTTTATTGGCATGATTGCAATGTCCCATTTCCCCTAAGCCAGTCCTGAAGAGGGGCATTGGGTGTTCAATAGAGTCAGCAACTAGGCCAGCATCCAGAGTTTCTGTTCCATGTTGCAGCCAGGTGTGGTTTAGCATTCAGGCCAGATTCAAGTCCATTAATCCACGTGTGAAATCCAACATGGTGGGGTGCCACGTGTGCACCGGGGAGCACCACCCCCTGCAGCAGGAGTCTCAAGAGGGCCCAGGGCCCTGGAGCCAAGAGAAAGAAGAAGGGCTGAACTTCCTTTGTTGGGGAGTTTACATATTTAGATTTTGAGCGCTTCCAGTGGCCATGCCCATCCTGGCCAATCACCTTTCTCCAGGTGTGATTGATAGGCAATTAGCCTCCCAAAGATTTCCATATTCTTGCCACAGCAATCCCAGGAGGGAACCCAAGGGGGCCACATTAATATTTCTGCCCTAATCAGGATCTGGACCCAGGGACAATGTTAAAATAAGTCACCCTGGGGACAATGTTAAAGTAAGTCACTTCTAGAAGTATGAAAATATTTGTATGTCCCTGCCCTTTTGTCTACACAACTATTGAAAAACCAATAAACATTTCCAGGGGCTACTAAATGAATGGGGATATTGCAAAGTTTTTAGTAGAGTGCTGACTGAGAATTTCAAAGGTAGTGACAGAGGGTGGAAGGAATGGAAGATTCTTCCTCTAGTCCTCACATTATGTAACCATTGAGTTTCTCTCTACCAACACCCACTCCCTCCCTTGTCTCTGACATGTTTTTTTTCTCCTCGGACTGAGTTGGTCTCAAGAGAGACTTAGATACACTTGGTGCACTTGGAACATGTAAGCCCTCTCCTGCTGATCTGCCTTGCAAAGAGTCCAAGAAGCCGAGAGGTGCCAAGCACCAGGTGTTTTCTTTTCACTCTGGTTTTGCCCAGCCTGGCATGGCAGGCAGCAGAGTTATTTTGCTTTTATAAGTCATATTATATAACTAAGATCTTGAACAGCGATGCTGAGCCAACTTAGAGGTCATAACAGAGTGGGGGGGGGAGGGGAGAACAATCAAAGAAATGGAGAGGGAATGGGAAAGAGAGCAAGGAAGGAGAAGGAGAAGGGAGAGAAGAAAAAATAGAGGGGAGAGTGGAGACTGAGGGAGACCATTTCATTTATTCTTGCTCATATGTTCTTGGTCTCCCGTGACGGGCTATGCAACCTGAAGAGTTCTTTAGCCCTCCTTTTAACTGGCGAGGGGGCAGCCTTTAGTTCACAGTCTGTGGAGGAGGTCCCTGAGTGCCAGCTGCCTGCAGGCATCACCCCAGGGCCCATTGGTGTCCCTGTTGGAGACTGCAGCAGCCTGGTGTGGTGCAGTACTCAGTGTTCCTTGTGGAAAACAAACAAGCAAGACATTGTCTCCATTCACCCAGCCTCCGTGCTGACTACATGAGCTGGTGAGTGAGGAAGCCCCAGTGGGAAGCCTTTTTTTCTTTTTCTTTTGAATTTCAGAAGATGATATAGCCCACTACAGCCCGCTTCCAAGAAGTTGGATAGACATCAGGAGCAGAGGTCAAAGACAGGTGTTTTGTTTTTATTTTGTTTGGGGGAGGCAGCAAAAGTTATGCTCAGTAACTGAGTTTGTATTTGCCAGTAATTCATCTAGCACAGGTTCACTGTAGGACTTTCACAAGCCACTAGCATGCAGGATAATATTTCTTAATAAGCAAAATAAAGAAATAACATATTCCCAACAAATGACAGATTAATCACACTATAGTTCAAGGCAAGGGGAGGTGAAGAAATAGAGTCCAAATTTAATATGATGTGTACCTTTATATACTTGGAGGCACTCAGGAGAGCCACTGTCCAACCAAGAGCTGATTTCCAGCTGCCAGCACAAAAGTAAAAGTACTCTGTTGCTAGGGCATGTTGCTAGGGAACAGAGACGCCAGTGCTGGTAGGCAGGCTGATCGCTTTCTAGCGGTTTCAGATGAGGCATATCACCACCATCCAGAAGAAATGTCTCGCCAAGACGCGAAAGAATGCCCCAAAGGTATTTGGAGGAGTTTTTAGGTTAGGGAAGGGTCACCTGGCCCAAACGGAAAGTCTCAAATATCCCTCACAAACTCTCAGTGTTTATAGCCTTAATGTCCCCTTGCCATAGTTGCTTCTCCATGTGTTCATTATAGATAAGACCCCAGTGGACCCACAGATGGGCTGCTGACTGCTTATCAATGACAGCAGATGTAGAATGATGACATCATGACATGACTTACTTCATTCTTACATAACAGCGATGTGGGATAATGACATCCTGACACAACTCACTTCACACTTATATCAAAGCAACACTGGTTCTTCGTTCCCTAGCAACGTGCTGTAGCAACAGAGGACTTTCGCTTTTTGACGCTGGCAGCTGGAAATCAGCTCTTGGCTGGACTCTGAGTCTTCCTGGTATGAAAAGTATGGATCCAGAGAAGAAAGAATCATTTGATGTGAGCCCCAGGTAGAAACTTATCTGCTGAGATGAACGCTTCATGGTCAACCGAGGGCCCATTTGCTGACAAGGACTCCTCCTGTACTCTGCATACAGGGAAGAAGTTCCGACTGAAGTCTTC